CTAAATTGTTTTATTTTACACAAGTATGTATTAAGCAGCCAACATGATGGAGGCACAGACCATTTCAATCCCAGCTCATTACTTAATGGAGAAGATACCTAAAGCAAGTAGCTAGGGGGGAGTCGTAAAGCTGGCTAATCTTTGTAATTTACAGTGATAAGCTCCTGAATGGGGGGAGGATTGGCCAGCAGAGTTATAAGAGACCAGACCCAGAACATCAAAGTAGGATTTTATATTTTTCTCTTAAAAGTCCAAAGTCTTAAAATAATCTTTTAGCTTCCAGCTTTAGTTTTGTTTTAGCCTTGATATGAATATAAAACATGGACTAAGTTTCCATGAAAGAACTATCACCTGTTGAGATTTAGCAGGCTTATTTAAGCCTGCATAGTAACAGGAGCAGGACAACACAAATCCTCCACACCACTCTGAAAACTGACTCAGATCGTTGAAAAGTAGTTTTTCAAGGTAACAAACCAAAAAGCACGGCTGCTACTTTATCCCATTTCAAATCAGTAGCATCTCCTGAGCTCTCCTATTTGTGGGGAGGACATATTTTCTTGGATCATAAATCACAAAAATCTGAAAATGTTTGCATTATTTTTGTAGTGTAAAAAGATTGTATTACTTATTAATTCTTGATGAGTTTTCTGTTGATATTGAACACGTGTCTATTGTGATGCATATCACTCAACCCTAGTGCAAATAACAGGTTTGCATGTGGAAAATGTTCTTTATGCAATGTTAACGACGATAAAGCATGATTACATCAGTGTGACACAATTAATAGGAGTCTCTCTTTCCAAGGCTGAGCAGAAGCACTCAAGACATAAAAAGCCTTCTGTGCAGCTAACTTTTCGGTTCTCATCACATTATCAGTCAATTAAACAGAACCAACCAAAAACAGTGAATCAGAAACTTGGTTGTGTTGCATCATCATTACAGAGCAGGAGAGTTGGTCATAGGCTCATGGGTGTTTGAAGTGAAAACAAGCCATTTTCTTTCAAATTTAATGAGGTGATGACACAACAGTGGCTGACAATTCATACCATCTTTTAATTGCAATAAATAAAAGTTAAAAACTACTTTATATTTCACTGAAAAAAACAATGTATGTTTGTTGAAAGTGTTTGTTCTCAGATTCAAAGACTTAAAGTGCATCAGAGGGATGGAGACCACACACATACTGAGTGTGCACAAGATGACCACCTGAAGACATTTGTTTAAACTTTAAGATGCTTGAGAAGACATTTAACAAACTTTTGTCACTGCCCAGCTTCTGTTCAGTCTGATATCCACCTTATTCCTGACTGCTCTCCTGTAGAACTAATAATAATGGCTGCAACTTCCTGGAAGTTGATGTAAAGCAGCCTTTCTCAGTCACTAATCATSAAAAGCATCTTTTAAGTCATTTATGCTCAGTTTTGCTAAACTGATTTGGTTTCCACAGTATGGGTGAGGTTGTTCTTTTTGTTGTTGTTGTTGTTTACAGCTGTAATTATAAGCAGATAAAGCTGAATTTGTGGCTTCAAAATAAGAGCGCACTGTACAAAGATTGACTCAGAATGAAAAGAGGTTTATTCCTGCAACCAGCGTTTCAATTCATGGAATTCATGGAATAAACACAAACAAGACATCCAAATACACGACTGTAGAGGCCAAAAACTTTGCATGTGTGCTGATTTTATTTTGTTGACAAGAAGCCAGCAGAGCAACACGGATATGTTGCTGTCAGATTATCAGAGAGGTGACAGCAGTTTAACAGTGAGGCTTAGAGATGACAAAAACCATCAAATTCTCACAGTTAACCTAAGAAAGCTGCACAATATCAAACATTTATCATATTAAAACACCAAGGAGTGTCATATGTGTGAAATACTATGTGTATGATTTCATTTTACTATACAAATAAAGTTGAATTGACTGACTGACTGACAAAGTTTTATAAACAACTGCAATAAATCAAAAGTCATTCTATTTCAAGACAATGTAACAAGATGCGACAAGATCTCTGTGCTAGGGTTTGGCAAAAGGTAGCGCAACTGTGTTTGCTGCATGACCTGTCTTAACTGCCCCCTCCCCCCTTCCCTGAATRTACAGCACCTTGTGAATTTATTTCTGCGAAAGGCGCTATATAAATAAAACTTTACTTACTTACTTACAATATGGGCAAAAAAATCCAGATTAATTGTGATATTTATCCAGTAACGATTAATTTGACGATTAATTTCCTGGACACACCCTCATGTCCTAGTCATGTGACCAATTTAGTGGGAAAGATTTGCTCTCTGTAAAAATCTGTTTGAAATTATGTCAACATTTCAGACTTCAGGCATCAAATTTTAAATTGTGTTGAGAGACCAAGTAAAACCAGAGTTATGATAAATAAATTACAGAAGTTTTATTTTTAAATGTTCGTCATATTCGAAGCGGAGAGGAGCATCAAGTAGACTGACCRGGAAAATCGCCAGTCAGTCTGTGTGGTGGCATTAATCATATTAATCGTCAAGTGCCAAAAAATGAATCGATTAATTAATTAATTAATTTTTCTGACGATTAATTGCACACGATACGATTATGCCCAACCCTACTCTGTGCAACATGCAACATTACACATTGAGGACATTTCGCTATCACAATGTTAAAAACATTAAMGCTAGCTTATAAATACTTTATGTATATAAACATCAATAGAAAAGCAGGATAACTATGAACATATATGAARGAGTGATGCCCAGTTCTACACATGGTAAATGGTAAATGGCATGTACTTGTATAGCACCTTTCTATCCAACCAGAATAMTCAAAGCTCTTCACACTACAATCTGTGCATTTAGCTATTCACACAGCACTCTATTAKGTTTCTACAAAGCTAATCTGCAATTAATCTATGGAGACTAATCAGTGTTAATCACATTCATACACTGATGGGACACACATCAGAGGCATTAGGGGTGAAGTGTCAGGTGGACGGGGGACTGAACCGGCAACGTACTGGTTCCAAGATGACTCCTCTAACCACACTGACACAGATGCCTCCCAATGTTAAAAGGTCAATTCAGCAGCTTTCCTCCCTTCTTCTGCAGTCAACATGTCTGATCTGGGAGGAAGAGTCTCTTTCACACAACAAACTTAATGCCAGCAACACAAACTGATTGGTCTTTCTCACACAAGTCACGTAACAGCAAATTAACCAGTTGAAGTATTTTCAAGCTGTAATTGCAGAACAAAGTGTAATAACAAGAAAGCAACTAATCTTTATTTGTATAGAAACATTCAAAATAAAAATGGAAAATACTTCCTATCAAACAAGAAAAAAAACTGTAAGTTAAGAAACAATCAAGTAAGAACAGGTAAGAAAATGAAAGGCTGTTGAAATGCCAGTCGAAAAAGATGAGTCCTCTGCTGTTTCTTGAAAACCTTCACAGAGTCCACAGAAGAAACATGAAAAGGTTGAGAGTTACAGAGCGCTGAGGACACAACTAAAAAAAGCTCTATCTCCTTTAGTTTTTAGTCTGGATTTAGGGACAGACAGCAGTCTATCACTTATGGTCTGAGTGCTGGTGGTGAATATATGGATGATGAAGCTTGAAATGTATGAAGATGTATTGTTGTGAGGAACCTTAAAAGTCCAAAGCAGAACCTTGAGAGAGATCAGTAGGGGTATGACATGGCAGCGGTTCGGGGACCAAGTTTAGCTGGTGAGTTTTGGACGAGTTGCAAATGATCCTATGAATCTTTCTTAGGTAAGTAAAAAAGGTAAAAATAAAAGCACAAATATCCATTTTCATCTCAACTGTAAAGATTATAGAACTACGCTCATCAATATTCATTAACCTAAAAAAAAAAACGAAACTAAACAACATTCTTAACATATAGAAAGGTCAATCAAAACAWCAAAACTTTTTTCATGGGTTTAAGGCTAAATAAAAGGTAGACCCAAGAGGCAAGTAATTCACAGATGCTTGCAGTGCACGGCCCAGCCCAGCCAGGCTTCAAACCCATATTCTGCATTTTATCATTCGACTCAAGAGTTCACCCCAATTTCTGCGGTTCAAACCAGCAATTTAAAGTCAGCTACTGCTGGTCACTGATTACTGATCARGGGGTTACATCACACAGATGAGAATAACTTTATGTGAATTTTTTGCAGTGACTGTAATGTTTTGTTTTTTTCAAACAAGTTTAACTACACGACAGTAGCAAGCTACCACATGCTAACAAGAAGCTACCACGCTCCATTAGCTTACTGTTTTCTGTTGTCCTACCCTTCTTAAAGTCTGCTGGATGGTCCGGTTCAATATTCTGTACTTTTTCTTCAAGTTTGGTGTAGTCCATTATTGTTTTGTTACGAATAAGACAAAATAAGACTCCACACATTTAATATGATGATCCATCCCAAATCAAGGTAGCTCTCTGCTCAGTCTGAACACAACCAGAGCCAGAGTAGTGTCAGGTCAGACCGGTTGGAGTGGGGGAGGGCCATGCTTAACAGTAACAGAATCTGATCTGGAACTACAGTAGATTTCACAACATTTTGCATCAGTTTATGGTGGATAAAGGCATTTMGATTTTAACAGTGATGATGGAATAATGTCTAAAGCACATTATGTAGGAGCTATAGTTTGAGGAAATGACACACAAATAAGGTTGAACATGTCAAGAACAGAGACCTTGTTTGGGGGCATGAGAGGCAAGGATGTGGAAGAGAAAACAAAGTTMATTTCAGAATCGATGGTTGTGGAAGAAAAAGTGTGAACAGTGACCTTATTTCTACAAAAATAATCCACATTTTTGGCATCAAAAATGTCAAAGATCAACATTTACTCTTCCTATATCCCTTTTTTCAAACTGGTCTAAAACCTGTTAACATTTAGCTTTTGAGTGCAGAGCACACACACAAACACACATAGGTCAAAACGTTGCTGCCTGCCTTTTGGTGGTGGTCAATAATAAATGTCAACAAAAAGCCTCTCCAACATGGTTAGAAGGTGAAAACTGACCTGTCACAGACGGGGTGTACCGCACCATAGGAGTCACAGGAACAGGGCAGACAGCCACTGGTGCCATTGGTAAAATACTCCTTCTCACACTCGTCACACTGCAGGCCGGCATAGCCCASCAGACACGAACACTGACCGGTGGTCTGGTCACACTCATCTGAATCCAGAATCCCCTCACTGCCACTGCTGCAGTTACACAAGCTCTCTTGGTGAGGGGGAACAAGGGGGTCAGGAAACACAAAAAACATGACATCAGTTAATTTTATTATAAAAAACTGTTTCTCTAATGCTCATATGGAACAAGATCTGAATCAAAAAATATAAAGTGATGGGTTTGAAAAATGTTCATTTGTTGTTCCAACAACAGTTTCAACTTTTAACAAGTAGAGTTTTGTTTTGCTTTTCTTAAAGATGCATTTTTTTTAACATGAACCTATTTTCATTATTGACTCCCACATAAACTATCAGAAGAGACTTTTGCACACATCCTGTTTACATGTTGGTGTTGAACAGGAGCTCTCACAGCCTGTTGGGTTTAGAAGTAATCCGCAGTGAATTATTGTATTCCTGAAGGAAACGTTCTCAAAAAGGAAAAAAGTCACTACATGGGTCAGTAAGAATATTTCGAAAGCTGAAAATTATTAACCTTGTTCTTCCACAGTGAGAAATTAGGAACTCTCAGATTCAGATTCTGTTTGTCATTCAAACATAACACCAGGGATGCACTGTAGAACAAAATTATGATGCAAATTAGCACACAACATAAACAGCTTGATAAACTATAAAGTAATGTAAAGTTCGAAACACTAAATTAAATAACGTAAAGTACGTTAGGCATATAAAAACAAAGCAGAAAAAAATATAGTAATAAAAAATAAAATAAAGTCGAAATAGAGTGAGGTAAAATCCAGATCAAGATCGAGGTTGAGGTGGTTTAAATAAAAAGATATTTAGTAAGGTGTGTACATTTGCATTTGTGCAATATATAACAGTACGTATGTGTGCAAAAACAATGAACAGGTAGATGAGATACAGTTCAGCAAGTGTTTGGTCAGCATCAACCAATAACAATATCAACCATAACCAATGAAAAAAAAGACTTTAAGCAAAGATTAAAACGTTAATATTTTTAAGGAAGCCAGAAAGATCAAAAATCTGATCTGAGTCAACATAACAAACATCAATCGTTGATGTTAAACAGTGAGTGCCACGCCCCAACGATCTCTCCTTTGTGTGGCAGTGGAAACAGTAAATAGGGAAGTTATCATTCTGCCATAAACCTGTTCAGCTCATCAGCACACAGGTCCGTCTCTGAACACTTTCTAACTACACAGTTCTCAGCAGACACACTGAGACAGATTTTTGTAGTAAAAGTTTCTCACAAAAATGCACAGCGTGAACAAAGAAATAAGGCATCATTTTTGGAGTCATTCTCAGCTCTTGGTGGTGCAGCAGACATTTCCTGATGTTACCCTTCTCAATCCAGAAAATAGTGTGTTTTAATGTCAAAAATGGCTTTCATATTATAACATGAAAGCCATTTTTCAGATCTACACGCAGAAAGTGGATTTAAACGTGTTTAAAACACTGTTTATCTTTTTTACAAAAACAAAAAACAAACATTGTTTTTAATCTTGTGTAGAGTTGAGTTAATCTAAAACAAAAGTAGTAAGCCTGAGTGCTGGTGACTTCCAGGCTGACACATCTGATCTAACCAGGAGATAATCAGGCGTGTGGATGATGACCCTGCAGAGCAGAGTGGCAATCTATTATTTATCTGATGTCAGGTTAGGTGTGGCAACTGAAGGCACCTTTATTTGCCTTCTTTCTGTATTCAGCAGTCAGAGGAAACTGACATTAAAGAAAACTAGGAAATTCCCTTAGAATATCTGAAGGGAGCTGATGCAGCTCCACTATGACTTTGTAAGAATCTAAACTACAGAAATGTATCAATTTAGAGCTGAATAGACTGAATCTATGGTTGTTTGCCTGTGCCATCTGAGGGAAAACAAGTCGGGAGACACACTGGCCGTGTTTATGCTTTGATTTATAATTTATATATTTATATGTGGTTACTAAAATATTGACAATTTTAGATATGTAACTCCAAAGTCAGTGTGACAACTGTGAGTTGAACATTTTGTGAAAACATAAGTAAAAAATTAAAAACGTGAATGATGACCATGCAGGTCAAATCTGTCTGAGCTGCAGAGTTCCAAAGACAGCTGGGTTTTCTCATCTTGTTCACCAAAAACCCATTGAGCTCCACTGTTTTTTTCTCTTTCTGTTTTTTTGAGGATTTTTGTCTTCATCCTGATTGAGCTGCACGTTTAGAATAATGTAATGTGCTGAAATGTTTTATTTTTAGGGCTGTGCATAACAATTAAAACTGATTCGTGTTCAGAGGAAGGGACAACAAGCTGCAGGTGAACTCAATGAGCAAGCCAAATGGTCAGCAGTATTCTGTAAGCGACTTTGTCCTTAAAAGCAGATGTTTGAACACATTTTGAGATATAATTATGAATACATAAATACATTTATAATATTTTGCTGGTTTTGTTGGGTCAATTGCATTGAGCAATAAGTATAAAGCAGGTCTATTCAGCTAAACTGCTCCTGGGGCCACAGTTACTGCAGGTCAACAGCACAGGGGCTGAACATCCAGCAATTAAACTTATTATGGTTATTACAAAGCAGGGTTGGGCATAATCGTCCTGTGCAATTAATCGTCAGAAAAACATTGATTATTTTTTGGCACATGACGATTAATATGATTAATGCCACCAGGTAGACTGACTGGAGATTTCTCTGGTCAGTCCGCTCGGTGCTCATCTCCACTTCAAATATGATGAACATTAAAAAAAAAAGTTCTGTAATTTATTTATCTATCAACACAATTTAAAATTTGATGTATAGCCTGAAATCTGTAATTATGACACAATTTGGAACAGATTTTTACGAAGAGCAAATCCTTCCCACTAAATTAGTCATGTGACCAGGACATAAGGGTGTCCAGGGACTAGGGTTGGGCATAATCGTATCGTGTGCAATTAATCGTCAGAAAAACATTAATCGATTAATTTTTGGCAGTTGACAATTAATACGATTAATGCCACCTGGCAGACTAACCGCTTGGTGTTCCTCTCTGATTCAAATATGACCAACATTAAAAAAAAATGTGTAATTTATTTATCTATCAAGACAGATTTTAAATTTGATGTGTAGCCTGGAGTCTGTAATTTTGTCACAATTTGGAACAGATTTTTACGAAGAGCCAATTTTCTCCCTATAAATTGGTCATGTGACTAGGACATAAGGGTGTCCAGAGACTCCAGGGGATTAATCGTCAAATTAATCGTTATCGGCTAAATACCACAATTAATCGTGATTAATTTTTTTGCCAATATTGCCCAACCCTATTACAAAGATCTGTTACCTTTGAAATAGTTTATATTGCTGTGAGTTTAATCATGAACACAACATACAGAACCCTATTTATTAACAGTAGTGATAATCAAACAATATCAAAACAAAAATAACACACTATGCCTCCTGTTAAACACAAATATTATTTTGACAACTCTGACTTGCCAAAATTTTAAACCAATTTTAATTTCACTTTCATAGTTTTATCTTCAACTGCTTGTAGTTTTAACTGTCATGGATGTTTATAGAAATGGTTTTTACCAGCTTCTAGACAAGATTCTGACATTTCTGTAGATACCAAACATGTCAATGTTTAACTAAAAGAACGTATCGGAGTTAAAGTGGAAAACTGGGGGCTTGGGCTTAAAAAGATGAATGAACCAGTTGGCGGGCTGAACTTTGGTCACTCATGGGCCGGATGTGGCCCTCAGGCTGCTAATTGAAAAGCCCTGGTATGAAGTAATGGATATCAATGTTGAATGGAACTGAACTGTATGAAGAATTGTATCGTGAGCTCTGTTTTGAAAATCGTACTGTCGTAGGAGATACCCAACCCTATTTATTTTAAAGCTGGATGAAGCTTTCAAACAAATTAGTAATATTAATGCTTCAGTGCTTTCTGTATGTATCAACACCTTTTACTGGGACAATATGTTTTAGTGGGGTACCATTCTAGATTAGATTTAAAGCAGAACTGCACAATATATCGCCAATTTATTGTTATTACGATACCAGCCAGTGCAAAATGCATATTGCAAAAAAATGCATAAATTGCAATAAATAATTGGCTCCAATATTTGCATTTATGTGGTTTGTCAGCATCAGTTTAGATGGACAAAATGGATCAGAGAAATAACATCAAATCATAATCACTCCATCATGTTGTAATGGAAATTATGTATTAGTTGTATTTTGCTCTGAGCCCGAAAAACATCAACACTGTATACTTAAGTATTTTTAATTTATCGCAAGTCATATCGTCATCGCAATACAGTATGAAACACTGTGATCACACATCGCAGGTTTTCTTGATATCGTGCAGCCCTAAGTTAAATTCCTTTCTAAAAAACTCAGAACTAAGAAAGATCTGCAGTTGTGCAAGTCTGCAAAGAAAGCATACACTGTCACCTCTGACCTCTCCTCAAAATGTGTGAGATCCAATGACCATGTCTCAGAGGACACACACTACTGTCCTTTCTTAAAACCCAGCCTCCTCCAGGTATGATACGAGAAATCCTAAGTGCTGATGCAGACTGGACTGGATGTGAGTGGGGTAGGGATGAGAAGGTGTGGAGGAACTGAGGCAGGGTGCCCCTTCCCTCCTGTAAGTCTGACCCACGGATTGTTTAATGGAAACACTAACTACACTATATTTCTGCTTTGAGCGTTTTACTAGCTTTCAGAGAGACCCAATAAAACAAAAGGGAAGTGAAACATAAAAACAGTACTCAGGACACTGTGATGCCTCTAACCTTCACTTAGAGCACAGAGGGAAGCTGGGCATGGACCCAGGTGACACCTTTGTTGATATAATCCCGTGGTTGCCTGGATCTGACATGTGCACTTCCATCCAGCTGTTTTCTTCCTCTTATCGGTGGTCGGGTCTCGGGGGCAGCAGCCTAAGCAGAGAGACCTAGACTTCCCTCTCCCCAGCCACTTGGGTCAGCTCCCCTGGGGTTATCTCAAGGTTTTCCCAGGCCAGCTGAAAAACACAGTCCCTCCAGCATGTCCTGGGTCTCCTCCCAGTGGGATGTGCCCAGAACACCTCAGGCAGGGAGGCGTCCAGGAGGCATCCTAACCAGATTAACCACCTCAACTGACTCCTCTCGACAGAGGCGGCTCTACTCTGAGTCCCTCCTAGATGACCGAGCCTCTCTCTAAGGGAGAGCCCAGACACCCTGTGGACCGCTCCAGTGAGAACTGGAGATCACGATCTGATGAAGCCAATAGGACCACATCATCTGCACAAAGCAGAGATGTGATCCTGAGGTCACCAAAACAAATCCCGTCAACACCTTGGCTGTGCCTAGAAAATCTGTCCATAAAAGTTATGAACAGAATCGTGAAAAAGGGCAACTTTGGCAGAGTCCAGCTCTCACTGGAAGCAAGCCCAACTTACCAGCAATGCGGACCAAGCTCTGACACCTAACAGCCCGTATCAACGGGACTGGTACCCCATACCCCTGAAGTACCCCCCACAGGAGTCCCCGAAAGACCCGGTCAAATGCCTTCTCCAAGTCCACAAATCACATGTAGACTTAGGGCTGCGCGGTGTATGCGGTAGACGGTAGAAACGGTGTGAAGTTGGCCTACGGTAGAAATTTACCCTCTACCGTCCTGTCGTCAGTTACATCATCACACCTGTGTCAACATGGCTGCAAGTGCAGAGACAACTGAGCAGGAGGAGTTCAAAATATTCAGAAAATAAATGAAGAACTATAGCGTTTTAAAACACGTAGAGAGAGAATAAATCCTCAAAATTTCCCCCTCCCCCTGTAGAAAAGTTATGTCAGGCTCAAACCCCACACCCCCGCTGCACGTCGCGCAGAGCGAAGCTTTAACAACCGTAGTTTTTTTCACACCCAAGTTGTCGGAGAAAAAACTTGTTTTTTTTTCTGTATTGTTACCCACAGAGGTGATAAAAAAAGATGTGGACGTTCGTTCAGTCATAAATCCATCTTGCTAATGTAACAG